AAATATATCAATATATCAACATCTTAGAGGCATCTTAAAAATAAAATCTAATAATTTTTTAACACGTCTGAAAAATTTTAAGAAGTCTTTTAGATATCATATTGTTGTGTAAGTTGGATGTATTATGGCTATCTATTGTATACTTTTTTACACTTTTATACTGCAATTAATTAAAATATAGATGTAAATACAGATATAAAATTATATTACGTATTTACATATAAATATATGTAAATACAGAGATACAGATGACAAATAGAAATAATCAGTAAATTCGCTTGTTGTGCGCGAATTAGTAATTTGCTTACACTAATAATTTCTTTACTGTCTTAGAAGCAAAAACATTTTTACTAGGTGACTAGTTCATTAACTTTTCGCAATGGATTATTCAATCAAAATATACAGAATGCTCAAAAGTAATTGACAGTTGTAAAAGAAGTGAATAGAGGGGAACAAAATAAAGAAAAAGTCATATATCATTTTGTAGAATAGTCATTGATTAAATTGTTTGAATTAATGAGCACACCGAAGGCAATAAATGGGACGTGAGGGAAAAGTAAAATAAAAAAGTAAATTACCTCTTTTAGATATACGTAGCAACGATGATGATCAACCGATAGCGATGACAGGCAGTGAACGTTGTCTAATAAGTCCGTATCCTCAAAATCTATTGTTCTTTCGCGGGTAGGAAAATAACGCGCTATCATTTCCTCATTACCTAGCTTAGTGCGTTTTTTATAGTAATTTCCTCAGTAGGCCTAATACATTTACATTGTTTAATGCAAGAATACAACTGTTCGAAATCTCCTGTTCCGTCCTTGCTCTCATGTGCAGAGTTCAGCTCTTCGTATATTATTGTGCGTTGTACCATGTCCGTAATAGCGTAATGATAGAAGAAAACAGGGAACTATTATTGCGGCTTTCTCTATTCTCTTTTTTTACTATATTAGTTACTTCTGAGCCTTCATCCTGTATATACCGCATATATATATATATATATATATATATATATATATATATATATATATATACAGGGTGTTCGGAAAGTACCGGGACGCCCGAATATCAGGAAAAATATAAGTTTTACAAAAAAATGTTTCAGACAAAAGTTGTGACGTTTAAAAAGATGTATTTACTGATCACATCAGTTTGACCTTGGGTTGCGTAGCGAAGGTCAGGTCAAGGTCACATTAATTTTTTTAAATGGAACACCCCATTTTTCATTGCATATTCTTATAGCACATCTCGAGAGCTTTCCAAAAC